TTCGATGTGATGACCTCTGGGTGGAGTTGTTCTATGTCGCATTCTCCTATTTGTGTTCAGACCACAGTGGATCAGAAAGAATTTTGTAGAACTGGGTTTCTTTGAGCATATTCGTTGAGATTTTCCTTGTCTGGAAAGACTTGTACTTCTCCATTTATCTTAACAAATAGTTTGTCAGGGTAGAGGATTCTTGGCTTTGCATTGTCGTCTTTCACCTTTTTGAAGATGTTACTCTACTTTCTCATCTTCTTCATGGTGTCTGCTGATAGGTCTGAGCATATTCTTATCTGAGGATTTTTGTAGGCGACTATCACTTATTTTCCTTATCCGGTCTTATGATTTTCTCCTTTTCCTCAAAGTTAGATAGTTTAACTACCATGATCCTTGGAGATTTCTTCCTGTGATTCAGTCTAGTGGTGTCCTCTCTGCTTCCTAAATGGTTGCCTGATTCTCATTTATTAAGCTGGGGAAGTTTTCTTCTAAGAATTCTCTATTTTTTGCTGTTGACTTCTTGGTGTGTCTTGTTCTGGTAATCCAGTTATTCGAATATTGCTCCTATTCATGGTATCAGACATTGTTCTTAGGTTCTCTTCAGCTTCGATTAACTTGTTTGGCTGTCTTTCCAGTTTGTTGAAGTCTGCCTGGTTGTCCTCTAGGTCACTAATATGGTTCTCTGCTTCTTCTAGTCTGCTAGTGATGTCTGTTAATTTGTTATTCACCTTTGTTATCTCATTCCTTATCACTTGTATTTCCCTTTGATGCGTGGCCTTTCTCTCCTCTATTGTTTCATCTGTTTTCTGTATTCCTTCCCTTATATCCTCTATGACTTCAAGCAGCATTCTGGAGATTTCTTTCTGTGGAAGATGAATGTCTGTTTCTTCTATGCATGTCATTAGGTCCAGTACTTCTTCCAACATTGCCTTTTATTTCTCCTGTTTTTTTCGTTGAGGTTGTTGGAGCTGGCTGCTATCTGTGTGTCATTTTAGAGGAGCTCAGTACCATTTTCCATGGAGTCTAAGAGTACTGGGCTCTCTCTTTGGGAGACTCATAGGAATGCTTGTATGAACTGCTGGCAGCTAACTGTGCTGGGGGAATGGGCTGCTGCTTTATCAAACTGTGCTTTCACTCTTTCCCTAACCAACCAGTATTCTTTTATTTGAAGGGAAAGTTGGGTGGCCCTCTCATGGGATGCTGGTTGGGTGGTTGCGGGCTGGCAAGGATGGCACTGTATTGGATGATCTCATGGGAAGCCATGGAAGTTTGGCCCACAGTTGCTTTGAGGGCCTTGGAGGGCATATGGGGGGTGTCCGCTTCAGTGGGAGTGTTGCAGAAGGCAGGTGGGATGCCCGCTTTGGTGTAGAGCACCGCAGATGGCAGGCAGAATTGCCCTAGTCAGCAAGAGTGCCACGGAGGTCTGGCCGAGGTTCTCACAGCAGCATGGAGCACAGCGAAGGTCTGGCAGGACTGCCTTAGGTCATGTGAAGCACAGCAGAAGTGGGAGGAAGTTCCCTCAGCCACATGTATGGCTGCAGATGGTGGGAAGCCACGTGGAACACTGTGGAAGGGGGGCAGAGCTTCCCCCAGGTGAGTAGAACACCAAGAATGGTGGGTGGGAGTCCCCCCCAACTGCTTAGAAGGCCTTGGAGAGCAGGCAGAAATTCCCTCAGCCACTTGGGGGGAGGTGGTGGCAGAAGGCTGGCGGGAACTCCTCCAGCCACTTGGAGGGCATTGGAGGTCAGGTGGGTGTTCCCCCACTTGATTGGCAAATGGTGGGAGGTGGCTTGGAGTTCCCCCAGCCACTAGGCAGGTGGCGGGATTTTCACCATGACATATGGGACCACAGAAGGAAGGCAGAATCTCCCTAGGTGCTCGGAAAGCAGCTGGAGTTCCCCAGCCACATGGAGCACTGTGGAATGTGGGGAGAGGCTCCTCCAGCTGAGTAGAGCACCATGAAGGATGGGCAGGAGTTCCCCCAGCCACTTAGAGGGTCTTGGAGGGTAGGCCGGGGTTCCCCCAGCTGCTGTGGAGAGTGAAGGGAGCTCCTCCAGCCACTTAGGAGGTACTTCAGGTATTCAGCCAGCAACGTGGGGATTTCGGAAGGTGGGCAAGAGGTCCCCCAGCAGCGAAGAGGGCAGGAAGAGTTCCCCAAGTCTCGAGGAATGCAGTGAGAGTTCCCCAGGGTGGGTGGAGGGTGGACAGAGTTGCCCAAGGACCCCTGTAGGCTGGCAGTGGCCTGTGAAAGGAGGGGGGAGGGCAGAAACAGAAAACTGAGCTAGCTGTGACTATGGCAGGAAAGAGAGAAGGGGGTGGTGGTAAAGAAATAGATGAGCCCCGACTGCCTGACCATGGGGCTATAGGGATTTAAAGCCTGCCCAAAGGCAGCTAGAGCTGTGGTGGTATGGAAGTAAAGTCCTTGAGCTTGGCTACTTTGACTAAAGCTCAGCCCCAGATGGCCTCTGCATTGGTAAGGCAAAATCCCATAGCTCTTCAAAACCTACTGGATCTGACTCTACTTATCTTTATGATGCTCCTGCTGTGAACTGGAAGAGGAGAATTTCCCTCTCAGTGGCTCTCCTGTGCTGATTTTGTGGAGTCCTTCCGATATGTGTTATTTGGTTGTCATCTTGCCAGAACTCCTCAGTTAATACTAAATTTATGTTTGTGTCAAATTGACGCATATCTGTAGAGATAGGTATACCACCCAGAGACTCTCAAGATTAGAGACTTGGAGGAAAATAAATTTGGATTTATATTTGTCTCATTAAATGGATAAAATTCAGCATAAATGTTGCTGTTGTTATTAGGTGCTATCAAGTCGCCTCCAACCCATAGTGACCTCTGCTCAGGTCCATGCCATCCTCACAATTGTTCCTGTACCTGAGCCCATTGATGCAGCCACTGTGTCAGTCCATCTCATTAACGGCCTTCTCCTCCTTTATTGTCCCTCCACTTTACTAAGCATGATTTCCTTCTCCAGGGACTGGTCTCTCCTGACAATATGTTCAAAATATGAACGATGAAGTCTTACTATCCTTGTCTCTAAGGAGCACTTTGACCTTACTTCTTCCAACACAGATCTGTTTGTCCTTTTTTAGCAGTCCATGGTACTTTCAATATTCTTTCCAGCACCACCATTCAAATGCCTCCATTCTTCTCCAGTCTTCCTTATTCAGTGTCCAACTTTCCCATGCAGATGAAGCTATGGAAAATGCCATGGCTTGGGTCAGGTGAAGCTAGTCCTCAAAGTAATATCCTTGCTCTTCAAAACTCTAAAGAGGTCTTCTGCAGAAAATTTACTTAATGCATTACGTCCTTTGATCTCTTGACTTCTGCTTCCATGACCACTCTTTGTGAATCCAAGCAAACAAGATAAAATCCTTGACCATTTCAACCTTTCTCCATTTATCATGATTGAGGATTGGTTCACTTGTGAGTATTTTGGTTCAGTTGTGAGGATTAAATCTTTATATTTAGTTGCAACCCATATTGAATCCATACCATTCTTGATCTATATCAACGAGTGCTTCAAGTGCTCCTCACTTTCAGCAAGCAAGATTGTGTCATCTGCATAGCACGGGTTGTTAATAAGCCTTCCTCCAATCCTGATGCAATGTGCTTCTTCATATAAGCCAGCTTGATTTGTTCAGCATAGATTAAGCAAGTATTGTAAGAGGATACAACCCTGAATCACACCTTTCCTGATTTTAAATCTTTGTTCTGTTTGCACAACAGCTGTTTGATCCATAGACAAGTTCTGAATGAGCACATGAAGTGTTCTGCAATTCCTTTTCTTCTCAAGGTAATGCACAGTTTATTATGAGCCACAAAGTGGGATGCCTTGGCACTCAGTGAAACACAAGTAATCATCTTTCTGGTATTCTCTGCTTCCAGTCAAGATCCATGTCACATTAGCAATGATCTCCCTTTTTCCTCTTCCTCTTCAGAAGCCAGCCTGAGCCTCTGTCAATTTTCTGTCAATGTCCCACTGCAACCATTGTTGGATGGTCTCAAGCAAATTTTTACTTGCATGTAATATCAACCCTATTGTTCTATAGTTTGAGCATTCTGTTGGGTCACCTTTCTCTCGAATGGGCACAAATATGATTCTTTTCTAGTCAGTTGGCCAATTAGCTTTCTGGCATAGACGAGTGAGTGTGTCCACCCTGTCAGTTTGTCATACAGTGGTAGCTTGTGTGTTGCTGTGATGCCAGAAGCTATGTTACCAGTATTTCAAACGCCAACAAGGATAGCCTACATGAACAGGTTTCACCGGAGCTTCCAGTAGAACAGACAACAAAGAAGGATTCGGCTCTCCACTTCTGAGGAATAACCCGCTGAAAACCTTATGCCTGCCTTCCAAGCAGTGTCAGATACAGTATAAATGGTAGGAGGTAAATGTAAACGGCTTCTGTGATTTTCGTTGAGGAAATGGAAACGCGTGAAAACAACTCATTCTGTAAACCCAGTGTTAAAAACCAATAAAATCTTATGTAAGCATAAAGAAAATCTAATATCCTGAAAATAATGATCCCTGAAATGGTCTTAGAAATATAAATGAAAGCAGTCTAACGGGAGGAGGGAAATATTAGAACTGAGGTCTCAGTCATACAAGTGACCTTCAGAAAGCCATTACTGTTCTTCGACCTCAATTTCCTTCTACTTAATTTAGAACGACCTGATTCCATATACTTTCCAATTCTCAAATTGTGTAACTGCCAGCTACTGTGCTTATAGTACGTTGCCTCCTTGGACCTACCAACGAATCCTCTCATTTCCTGAGATGCTGTCTCTGGAAGCAGAAGCACAGGTGGTCTTCTCACATCGGATTCCACGATTTCTTGATCTTCTATCTGCCTTTTGAAAACGTTTCATTTGCCTCCGGTTGTCAGTGCTCTCCTCTCCCACGGTACATCCGTACCGTGGTTCTTTTCATGCCCTTGTGCGGCTCCCAAAATGCCAATGGACTGACAAATGAGCCTGGCATTCTCACTCTTCCGCAGGAATGATCTGGTCCGAGTGCAAGGAAATCTGGGAGGAAGGGCCGAGGGAGTACGTACTGCACCTGTGGAACCTGCTGGATTTTGGGATGCTGTCCATCTTCGTGGCCTCCTTCACCGCGAGGTTCATGGCCTTTCTGAAAGCCAGCGAGGCGCAGCTGTACGTGGACCAGCACGTGCAGGACAGGACGCTGCACAATGTCTCGCTTCCGCCGGAAGTGGCGTACTTCACCTACGGTGAGTCAGAGGGCGCCACCCTACCCTGGATGATTATGCTTTTGCACGTGGTCATGGGCAGCCTCTGCCCGTGGTCCTCCCCAGGTTGCTTATCTCCAGGGATAATGAGCATGCTCTACACAAGCCCTGGTGCTGCAGTACAGCTACTGAATAGAAGTGTGAGGATTAGTAACTACGAAAACAGGCTCATGTTTTTTTCACTAGTGAGCATACATTTAATTTGGAAAGGTTCTTGGAGGCATTTTAAAGACAACACCACAATGCCAAGGAGTCAATTCCAACTCATAGCAATCAGAGTGCAGTAGAACTGCCTTCCAGGCATCACATGGATATTAAATATATACGTGCATACTATATGCACACACAAGGGAATTTGTTTTAAGTCTATGGGAAAATGACAGTAAAATGTCATGGGATTTTTTTCCCCAAGAACTTTTTTAAGCTCCTTTGTCTATCTCATCTCTGATGTGGATCTAGGAGCCAGAAAAGAACAGATTTTCCGTTTTTTAATATTGGTTCCCTCTGTTTTGAGGAGTTGTGCTTGCCTAGTTTGAAAAGTCTCATGGCAAGATCTTTTCTTACAAGATGCCTTGTTCTTGCGCCCCACATGTCCATACGCTTGATATGACAAATCAGGACTTCAGGAATAATGATAATGCCATTGTTGTTAAGTGTCGTCAGGTTGGCTCTCACTCAGAGCAACTCTCTGTACAACAGAATGAAGCGTAACGCAGACCTGCACCTTCCTCACATTTGTTGCACTTGAGATCATTCTTGCAGCCACTGTGTCTGTCCATCTCGTTCAGGTCTTCTTTTGCACCGGCCCTCTCCTTTACCAGGTAGGGTGTCCGTTTCCAGGAACTGGTGTCTGCTGATAACATACAAAGTACGTGAAGCAAAGTCTCTCCAGCCTCCTAAGGAGCATTCTGGCTGCACTCCTTCTAAGACACACTTGCTTGTTCTTCTGGCCGCCCAGGGTACTTTCAATATTCTGGGGCAGTCCATAGTCCCATGGTCTTCCTTCTTCATTGCCCAACTTTCGGGTGCATGTGAGGTGACTGAAAATTGCATGGCTTCAGCCAAGCATCCCTTAGTCTTCAGCATGACATCCTTGTGCTTCAGTAATAATAGTTGGGGTTTGTTGTTGTTGATGATAATCATCTTATAGTTGATTCTGACTCATGGCAACCCAATGTGTTATCAGGTGGAATTGTTCCACGGGCTTTTCTTGGCTGTATTATGTTACAGACGTAATCCAAACTGGTTAGCAGCTCACTGGCCTCTTCATCCGTGGCTACACTGGGTGGGTGAGCAGTCAACTAGAACTGGCTTGCAGCACCCAAACCAGAAGATCAAACTCCCTGCTTGTGAGTCGATCCTGACTCATAACAACCCTAACTGATAAGGTAGAATTGCCTCTGTAGTTTCTGAGATTGTAACCCTTTACAGGAGTAAAAACCCGGTCTTTCTCCCTCAGAGCACACTGGTGGTTTAGAACTGCAGATCTTGCGCTTAGCAGTCCAAGGGGTAACCACTACATCACCAGACCCGGGAGCCTTTCATAAAAGTTCTTCCCACCCCCTTGCCTATTGGGTTGGTTCTGACTCCCAGAAACCCCACACGACGGAGCATGATGGTGCCCAGGACCCCTCGGCTGGAAGATTTAGGGAAGCAAACGGCCTCGTTTCTCTCCCACCGAGCAGCTGGTGGGTTTGAATCTTTGGGCTGGTAGCTGAACACTTAACTACTCTGCCACGAGGGAGGGGTCTTTTAATAATAGTTAGAATGCCTGTTGATGAGGACCTACTGTGTGCCGAGAACTGTGTAGACATTTTATACCCACAAACTCCAATCCTGGCAGTGGCCTTGCACCTGTTTCCTAGGTGAAGACTTGGAGAATGTCACCGCAGGGCCCTTTATCTTCTCAGAAAGAGAGGGATTGCCTTGTATGTCAGGGGATCCGGGCCTGAAATGAATGAAAATTCAACAGAAATGCATATTTTTTATTCCCCTGCCCTTGGAATGAGAAAGGCCTGGATTCAAGTACTGGTTTCTGTAACTGATTGTGAAACTGAGGTTTACTCAATTTTTCTGAGCCTCCTTTTTCTCGTGCATAAAATGGAGTTACGAATAGTTAAAAGGTGTGGTCTGAGGATTAAGTAAGATCATGTCTCGAGAGAGTTTTGCCCTGTGCTCTGAAAATATCCACCGCTTATGGAATGATTACAGTAATGATGATTTCTATATCGTAGGTCACTTCGCTCCTCAAGCACTGTGCATCTTGTATTGAAAGAGAAAGGTTGGAGATAAAAGGAGCAGTAAACAAATAGCAATGACAGCAGTAAATAGCCACTGGACACTTACCAAGCTCTGCTTCTGTGCCCTGCTGGCTCAGTCCACTACGCATTGGGCTGCTACCTGCAAGGTCAGCAGTTTGAACCCACCAGCCACTCCACAGGAGAAAGAGGCAGCTTTCTGTTTCCATAGAGTTACAGCCCCGAAGGCCCTGTGTAGGGTTGTTACGAGTCGGAACTGACTCGCTGGTTTTTCATGTACTTCTTCATGGCGGCTGCTATATCATGAGTCTATGCATCAAATGCAGGGCTCTGTCAGAAGAAACCACATCTCTGCCCACAAAACCTTCCTGGTCCGATATTTTAGGTCAAATTTTTAGGACACCAACTTGGCAGGGAAATCCGGATTGAGAAAAGGCACCACCTTGCGGCATGAACAGTCATCAAGTCTCTCGTGTTGGTCCAGCAAATTCAGATCTCCTTAAAGCAGGATGCTCTTAGATGGTTTCCCCCCTTGCTCGTGCAGGGTTCGTCAGGGAAAGAGGGAAGGCGATCGTCATGTTGCACCGGATACTTCCATTAACGACGCGATTCGGGCTGCAGTGTTGTCCACTGCTAACCTCTCTCCCTCTGACAGGTGGCCTGATTTCCCCCGTTGGTGCACCCTGTGCCCTTGGAAATCTCTGAATCTCGTTGGGGTAGTCACTTGCGCTCCAGTTGCAGGTGAAGAGCGCCCTCTTGTGACCAGCCAAACTGCGGTTCCGTGTAACCTCTGCCAGGCCAAGTTCGCAGACAATTTTTCAGGTTAATGAAAAGGGGATCTCCCTCACGGGAACAAATCCAAGAAGAAAACGCGTTCATCTGAATCATCCCAGGGCAGTTTGCTTTATACCCATCTCGAGTGCGCAGACAATTTTTCAGGTTAATGAAAAGGGGATCTCCCTCATGGGAACAAATCCAAGAAGAAAACGTGTTCATCTGAATCATCCCAGGGCAGTTTGCTTTATACCCATAGCAACACTTACAGACCCATCCAAGTCGAGTGTTTCACCAAGGGCGCTGACCTGGTCTCCAGGTCCCTGGCAACCGCTAAACTGGCCTTCCTAGACCTTAGGAGTGACTTTTACTAGTATTACAGCTAAGGTTGAAGATGGGTAATTACAGGTGGGGGGGAAACATTCATTCCCTTTTGGTATCTGTTCGAAGCAGCCGAGCCCGAGTTCATGTTATCTGAGTGTGTCATTTATCTACAGAGGGCGACAGATATATTGGAAAACACATAATTTCTTCTCCTCATTGGTCTTTCATGGACTCTGAGTTATAAATGTTGAAGGGATCATTTCATTACATTTCCCGATGTAATTTCGAGTTCACGGCGTGGACCTTTGTGGCTGGCCTCCTTTGCTAAAGGGCTCAAGCTGCTCGTTCCTATTACGATGACGTAGCAGAGGCCCGCTTACAAAATACAGAAGAAATTCTTCCTCATCCAGCTCCCTCGGGGGGAGCCTAGAATTGCTACGTAATGTCCTCATTATCTGCATTTACCAAGTTCGGAGAAGTGCTCCATTCCCCAAATCCGATCTTTAAAAAATGGAGATAATCTCTGCTCTACAGGACTGTTGTGAAAATTACAGCTAATGTGAGTGGAAGGGCTAATTTAGGCTTTTCAGCGTTTCTCAATATAAGTTCCATTCAGCATTTCTCAACGGGGACACTGTTGGCCTTTTCAGCAGGGCTCTTTGCATGGTGTGGTTCTGTCTGGAGCACTACAGGACATAAGCATCCTGGCAGTATCCCTCCCCAGTCATTGTGACTGACAGGCACCCACGTACACTTCTCCCAGGAGGGTTGGGGGTGGGGTTGGGGGACTGTCCTCGGTTGAGAATCACTGTCTGCCCCGACACATCATCAACATCTGGTTAATAACAGAGGCTGTATCCTTAGAACAGCTAAGAGCACCACGCAGGTTGCCTTTGCTGAGACATTATCCCCAGAGCCACTCAGTCCCTTGTTGCTGACTCCAAGCAGAGGCTCCCTAGCCCAGGCCTATTCGAGAACTCTTGCTTACCTTGAACATGGCTGTCCTGATAAGCCTGGCTGATCAGTCAGCACGTTGGGGCGCCTTAGCTCACTCCCGAGCCGCTCTCGTTGACACGCAGAGGTTGGGAAATTACTCCTAGAGCATCCCTCCTCCTAGAGCCTTTAGATGCCCGGTCCCCACAGGGGCACACTTGTTCTGATCTGAGCCCCGTCTCGGACTGTGGTGGAGACTGCACTCGCTCATCAGCACCTCCTGTGTGCTGTGCCCCATACTACATTCCACACATGCTTTCTTTGCACCCTCCCTCCAGCCCCGTGAGGCTGATGATGTCATCCCCAATGGAGAGATGAGGGAAAGGAGGCCCCAAAGCTTAATTTGCTATGAGTCATAAAGCCAGCCAGGGGAAAGGCTATCCCCATCCTTCAGTCTGGGGCCCCCAATCCATTCTCTCCACCCGCCCCCCTTGCTGTCTCTCCAGTAAACGGGACCCCATCCATCCATGGAGCCCCCATCCTGATAGAGAGGAGAGTAGCATGTCGTATGTGAAGTTCCCTAACATGGGGTATGCACGGGAAACCGGGAGCAGAGAGAAGAAGGCCCTGGCCTGTGGCACTCACCGGGAGGCTTCCTGGAAAAGGTGGCACCTGCATCGTCTTAAGGAATGATCAGAAATGAAGCCGATGTTGAAGTGAAGGGAGAGAGGTTGTGGCTGATGGGCCAGGATGTGCTTGGTGGGAAGGCAGCACCTTCAGGGTGTCAGGCTGGAGTGAAGGTCAAGGACAAGAAGAGCTCATGATGAGGTTAGAATGGCTTTCCCCCCCAGAGCAGATTGTGTCCCCTGGTGAGTAACCCGGATCATTTTCTTTTAGCCAGGGACAAGTGGTGGCCCTCAGACCCGCAGATCATCTCAGAAGGGCTGTATGCTATAGCTGTCGTGCTGAGCTTCTCTCGCATCGCCTACATCCTGCCGGCCAACGAGAGCTTCGGGCCCCTGCAGATCTCCCTGGGGAGAACCGTGAAAGACATCTTCAAGTTCATGGTCATTTTCATCATGGTATTTGTGGCCTTCATGATCGGGATGTTCAACCTGTACTCCTACTACCGAGGTGCAAAGTACAACCCGGCATTTACAACGTGAGTATCCCAGAATCTTGCTGGGCTCCCCGGGGATCTCTGACAGGTGGCTGCAAGAAGATTCCAATTCCCTTGGTCCTTCCCAAAGTTTAAGGCAAGCCGGTTTAGAATTTTGGCTCTGGAGTTGAAAGAACAGAAAATTAGCTGAAGTCCTCATGGAAGTGAACCTGAGCATATTCTTTACCTTCTGAACAGAGTCCTTTAACACTGTGCCTTAATTTCCCCATCTTTAAATTGGGGGTAACAAGAGTACCTACTCCATAGGGATATGAGAATTCATGTAAGCAATATGGCTGGCTTCTGGTAAACTCGCAATAAATAGAAGGACGTACTTAGGTCCCCATTAGTGGCTTAGTCTATGGTCTCTGGAAAAACAGAGCCACCGGGCAACCCAATAAAGTGAAAGGCAACATGATCAAGTGTTGCCAGCCTCAGTGCTTTGTGGAGGGTGCCATCCCAGCCAATAAGGCTGAGAGAGAAAAAGAATGTAAGGTATGGGAGCAGAAGATGCAATACGTGGTATGTCACTTGTCTGGCCACCATCTGCCAGAGCACACAGTTGGGACAGGAGGGACTTCCCTGGAGCAGCTGTATGGAAACACCACATCTCAGGATAATTCATCAGGGGAGAAATCTATCTGCATATCTCTCTCATCTGCTATCTCTCATTAGTCAAACCCACCCCACAGGACATTAACTCACTCACCCAGCCTTCCAGGGCAGCCCCAGATTAGCTGTATCCACACAGCACAGGGGGGGGATCTGCAAGGGGACCCAACACTGTGCCTGGCTGGGCAAGCCAACAGCCATGCATGATCCTCCTGCAAGACCTCAATGAGGGGGTAGAAGAGTCCCGGGCCAGGAAGCAAGAGGCATGTGGATATGGTATGCTATCCAGTCAATGGGCCTTTGGGCTCACAAGTAGTTGCTGCAGGGTTCCAGCCAGCCAAGCACAAGGGTGTGACTTCCACCCCGAAGGTGGCAATTGAGCTCCATGAACCCGTCCCCACAGAGACCCCATCCTCCTCCTCTCTGTGGTAGCTGCTCTCGACGGCGGCTCCCGGTATGGCCAGGCCATCGTTAGCACTGAGCAACGCTGTGGTGGAAGATTTTGACATCCTGGCCTGGCCATGGACTGGCCCAGTCACTGGGTTTACGCAGTTTCTGCACTCTCATCTGTTCCTAGTGACTAAGTGAGGTAGCTTACCTGTAGTGCAGAAGTGTCTTTTCCAGGCCCAGGCTCCTGATTTCACGGGACCCCCCGAACAGAATGTCGAGGGTTAGTAATCCAGGTGTCCAGCCACAAGCACAGAAGCTGAGGCCCACTTCTGAGGGTGGCCCCCAGAAGCCCTGACTGGCCTGGAGTGGCAGTTTCCCAGGCCTGGAGACGGTTCTGAGCTGGTGCCAAGCAGGATCTCTGAGCAATCCCTGCCTCACAGCAGGGCCTCCCCGTAACCCCCTCCTGGAGAAATGGAGGGAAGTTCCTTGTCCCCAAACCTTCAGACCAGGCGCACTGAGCCCTGAGTCACCCCGCTTAAAACCATGCCTCGCCCAAACGCTTAAAGCCCACTGGAGCTCCCTGGAAGCAACAGCCGCGGGAGCCGCTGGCCTTCTGCTGCTCCTGAGGCAAAGCACCCCTTTCCGCACAGGGCAGGGGCCTGTCCAGGGCAGAGAACTTCCCCTGAAGGGTGTCTGCCTCCATCCTTCCGTCTCAGTCCACCTGCTGCTGTCCATGTGGCTTCAACTTCCTGGGCCTCACGGTCGAGGGATTGAAACTGAGGATCCTGAGCTCCCCAACCTCATAAAACCGTGGCAAGGATCAAATGGAGTATGTGTTGTTGTTGTTGTTGTTGTTGTTGTGAGGTGCCATCAAGTCAGCTCTGACTCACGGCGACCCTGTGCACAACAGAACAAAGTGCCTCCCTGTCTTGCACCGCCTTAACGATTGTTGTTTGAGCCCATTGTGGCAGCCACTGTGTCAATCCATCTCCCAGAGGGCCGCCCCCCTTTTAGCTGCCCCTCTACTTTACCAAACAGGATGCCCTTCTCCAGGGACCATCTCTCCCGACAACATGTCCGGAGAGTATGTAAGGCAAAGTCTGGCTATCTTTACACTCCGGCCGTACAATCAGTGGTCAAGGTTCCAGCGGGGCTGATGCATAAGAGAAGGAAGAGTGGGATAACAGGGCATGGGGGGGTGGGGGGGAGCCGGGAAAGGCACCTAGGGACTGATTCAACCTGCTCTGCGAAGTAGCCTCATTACAAACTGTCTACCAGCTCAGACCAAGCACAGGATGGAGCCAGTTGGACAACCTGCTATCAATCCGATTCAAAAAAGTGGAATAAGCTTGAATGACCCCAAAACAAAATTTCTCTGGATCCAAGCAGAATACACTGACTCGGCGTCGGAGGTGCTGATGGTGAACGTGGAGGGGAGGTCAGGCAGCCGACACAGGCCTTGGCTCCCAGGGGTCCTCACACGGGTTTTGCTGCACTAAAGGCTTCGTGAATGAGAACGGAGACATGAACAGGAGAAGCAAAACCAGGATCAAGGTAGCAGATTGACATGCTGAGCATGTGGATCGGTCCTGTTTCCACTGTGCTGGTGTCTGTGTGGGTGCCTGGATCACCTACCCACAGTCCCTCAGACACCGACGTGACTCCATAACACACAGAACATGAGAAAGACGGTGTCTGGGGAGCAGAGTGCGTCTGGCCACCCTGCTAGTTGTAGGATGGTTAACTTTAAAGCAAGAGCGAGACAGGTGCTTGGACTGGGGTCTTTGGGAGCAGGAAGAGGCACGGGATCGGGTGAAAATAGGACAAAGGGGCAAACAATTGGCTTCTCCCATGTTCTAGGAGCTGAATGAAGAGCTTCTAGATGTGAGAGACCAGCCACAGAGGCCTCGGGACCTTCCCAGAGGGGGCTGGGAGAAAGAGGGTGGCTATGCCGAGCAGGGTGGAGAAAGGATGGGGCATCTATTACACTGGCAGTTCCCGAACTAGGCTGCGTGCGCAGCTGCGAAGAGGATTTGATTAAACCAGGAACTGTCATCAGCACAGCGAAGCGGAGAGGAGAAGATGGATTTCTGTAAGTGCCTTCTTTCACTTTTGACTACTTTCTGGAGCGTGTCACCCCCAAGAGATCGCCTCTGATCATACAAAAAGCTGCCTGAGGATAGTGGAGATCCGTGCCTCAGGGATCCCAGAGATGTTTTCCGTGCCAGCTACACCGATGGGGAAGGCAAGCGGCCCCAGGGAGGTGCAGGCTGGCGACAAGCATCCTCCCTGCTGCCTTGTCCAGCTTCAACTCTTCCCTTCAGCCCACCCACGGGTGGTGTTGTCTGTGCCGGATCTGAAGCCTGGAGGGTGTGACCGGGGCTCTCTTAGCTGTTTCCATAGAGACAGAAGATGCAATCCTACTGAAAGGATTGGCACCCTGTGTCCCTATGACACCCCAACCCCACCACTGCTGTGCTCAGGGGCAGCATAAATCCTAAAGGCTGATTGGAGTGCCCTTTCAAAACCAGCTGTGAGGAACCGAGAGAGAGGTTTCTCATGAGATCCCTGCTCACAAAAGCCCTGCGTGGCCCCAGCCCGACTGAGTCACAGTGCTTCCCCAGGGAAAGGGGGCAGAACGGACATTCTGCTGCAGAAGAAAGGAGGAGGAGAGGGGTTTTCCCTCTTGTTCTAGTGTTCTCATGCTCCAAATAAATTATTCCCAGGGTGTTTCTCTCACTCAAACATTTCTATTAATAATATTATTCTTGATACAATTTTCGAAGCATTTACCATGCCCCGAGGTATGATTAGGAGCCTGGGGACATAGTGATCACTCACTGGGCTGCAACCCACAGGACTGGCCATTTGCAACCACCAGCTGCTCCCTGGGAGAAAGACAGACCTTTCTACTCCCAGAAAGAGTGACAGTCTGGGAAACCCAAGGGGGCAGTGCTCCCCTGTCCAGGGGGTTGCTATGAGTCAGCACGGAGTGAGGTTAGTAAGGAAGATGTGGTACTTAGGACGCGTTGGGAATTCTGCTAAGCACTTACGTGTTTTCTCACTGAGCATAACAAGACTTTCCAAAGGATGACAGACCATTTTACAGATAAGGAACCCCAGTGAGAGAAAGTAAGTCACCTGCAGTCACCCAGCAAGGAAGGAAGAGGCAGAGGGCGCATGAAGCCCTGCTCTGTCACCAAACACAAACACTCACTGCCATCCAATCAGAGGGACTCACAGAGTTTCGGAAAGGGAACATCTTTTCTGAAGCAGACAGTTTCCTCATCTTCTCCTGAGGAGCTGCCAGTGGATTTGAACCATCAACCTCGCCATGATTAGTCCATGGCTAAGCACTACTAAGGTGTTCTGCCAAAGGTCAGGTTGTCTGTGGCTTCTACCAACCCATAACTACAGCCGGCCTTGGCCCCAGTGGGCTGCAGTTCCAGCATCACATCCTGTCCTCCCCACCTGCCGATCCCCAGCCTCTCCATCCGGCAGACTCAGTGAGGGGGTTCGGAGAAAGTAGGCAGATTGAAGTAACAGCGTCCACGGGGTAATAAACGCACCGCATGAGCAGCTGCATACTCACAGTGACCCCAGAGGGCAGGGTAGAACTGCCCTGGTGAGTTTCTGAGACTGTAGTTTTTTCTGGGGGTAGAAAGCTTCATCTTTCTCCCGAGGGGCAGCTGGGGATTACCAACTGCTGCTGTGAGTCGGAATTCATTCGAGGGCAGTGAGTTTGGTTTGGAGCTTAGCTTGAAATCATTGGTTCTTAAACTACATCAGACTCACCTGGGAAGGTGGATACATTTGTCACTTCCCAGGCCCTTAGAGGATTCAGTTACAGCACATGCAATCCTCAGGTTACAAACAACTGAGTCAGGTCAGTGTTAGTACAAAATACACGATGGCAAACATTTGACTAGTTAACACAAGGTACCAACCGTACCTAATGCTTCCAATGTACATTCAAATTTGACTGAAAGGCAGGCAGGAAT